ACATCGCAAAATCGTGGAACCTGAAGTGGTTGGAGAAAGTGATTCAGAAGTAGAGGGGGGAGAAGCTTGGCGCCTGGAACGGGAGGACACCAGTGAAGAGGAAGAGGAAGAGATCGATGATGAGGTGCGTTCGCAGAGCCAGATAAGGGGCCTAAGAAACTGCAAGGGCACAGGCTGGAACTGCCCTTTGCATGRATTTGTGAGCTGTCKGATGGATCTGGAGAAATGTCACACRTGGCCATTAACTGGTGGGTCACCATCCTCTGGCATGGGACAGGCACTGGGGGAAGCCACCCCCAAGTCCAGAGAGGCAGGTGTRTCTCAAAGCCAACACTCCAGACATCACAGATGTTTGATGGGAGAGAAGGGGTAGCAGGGCTGGCCCGTGACTGCTCTATGCTTGTCCCCAATAGGAGATTGAGCGTCGGCGCGGRATGATGCGTCAACGAGCACAGGAGAGGAAAACTGAGGAGATGGAAGTGATGGAGTTGGAAGATGAGGGTCGGTCTGGAGAAGAGTCTGAGTCAGAGTCCGAGTACGAGGAGTACACAGATAGCGAAGATGAAATGGAGCCGCGTCTCAAACCGGTCTTTATCCGCAAGTAGGTGATGGAACTGTGCAGGCTGGCCCTGGGATGTGGGAGTTGGGAGCTGGAGGCTGAGCAGACCGTGCTGCTATGGTCTGTTCTCACTGTGAGGGAGCCATTCACCTCCTTGGGGTGGGGCAGGATGGTCACAGCCTGGCAAGGCACAGCTAGGGAGCGAGGGGCAATCCCCGCATCCACAGCCCCTCATCAGTTGCATTGGGTTGCTGTGGGATCAGGCTGTGGAGTCTGACCAGAGCCCTTGGGCAAGGCCCTAAGGTGACAAAGGGATGCGGTAGCCCTCAGAAAGGAGAGAGCCCCTGGGACTTTACCTGTCCTTGGAGAGGGCAAAGGCTTAAAGCAGCTGTGGTGTGGGAGTCTRTGAGGGGCTGAACAGCTGCACTGGCTCATGGAAGGGCTGAAGGCTGTTCTGGCCCTGCTCTCAGGAAGGACCGGATCACCGTTCAGGAGAGAGAAGCAGAAGCTCTAAAGCAGAAGGAGCTGGAGCAGGAGGCAAAGAGGATGGCAGAGGAGAGGCGCAAGTATACGCTTAAGGTACGGCGGGGTGGGCTGGAGGCTGGAGGGGGCAGTCACTGCAGCAAGCTTAGYTTGGCCCTCACTGCAGATTGTAGAAGAGGAAGCAAAGAAGGAGCTCGAGGAGAACAAACGCTCATTGGCAGCACTGGATGCACTYGATACAGATGATGAGAACGATGAGGAGGAGTACGAGGCCTGGAAAGTCCGTGAGCTGAAGCGTATCAAGCGAGACCGTGAAGAACGAGAAGCGTAAGTATTGTCTGTGTACACACGAGGCTGAGAGCCCAGAGGCAGTTAAAACACCTTTTCCTCAGGGTCCCCTTCAGCAGCAGGTTCCCAGCTAAACTGAATGCCCAGAACCACTCCTGCCCTCCCTTAGGGTGCCTTTGCTCCCCAGCAGTAAATGTGTAACCCCTYGGGTGGTGTCTGGTCCCAGAAGGTGCTTGGGGACACAGGGTCTCAGGGCTTTTCTCCCACCCAGCATGGAGAAGGAGAAGGCAGAAATCGAGCGTATGCGGAACCTCACAGAGGAGGAGCGCCGGGCTGAGCTCCGGGCCAACGGCAAAGTCATCACCAACAAGGCAGTAAAGGGCAAATACAAATTCCTGCAGAAGTACTACCACCGCGGCGCCTTCTTCATGGTGAGTGTGCTGAGGGCTGGGCATGGCTGCAGGTGTAAGACCTGGGGCTGCCTTTTGACTGTGGGGAGCTTCCCCTCTCCCATGGTGCCCTGGGGCAGGGGGTGCCCTGGACAAGAGCTGACCCTCAGAGGCAGCATGGCACTGAAGCTGACCCAGAGTGACCTCGCCATAGCATGTCAGGTTGGGGGTTCCCAGCTGAAATGGAGCTGAACCTGCAGAGCTGTCCCCATGCTGCTGTTTGGGCTGACTGACCCAGCCAGAACCAAGTCAGCTCCACATGGGCCATTGGAGAAGTAGCCTAGGGAATGCAAGGGTGGCTGCCTGAGGCAGGCCTGGTGAACAGTGCTCACATCCCCCATTCCAGCAGGAGTTAATAGGGCTGTAAGAACTGTGGCAGCCCTGGCAGAGCAGCGGTATGACCTTTGGGCAGCTTTCCCCCACTGCTGCCAGGACTGGCTGGAACCTTTTAGGCTGAGCAGGTGTGTCCTTCTCCTGCAGGATGAGGATGAGGAGGTGTACAAGAGGGACTTCAGTGCTCCAACCCTTGAGGACCATTTCAACAAGACCATCCTGCCTAAAGTCATGCAGGTGAGTGTGCTGGTGGAAGGTGCCTAGCCTGCGTGCMAAGGAGTGGGAGTTCTCAGCACAGGGGAGCAGCAGGTCCTGCAGCAGGTCCTGCATCCCCCCTGAAACAGTTGCTGACACATTCTTCTGCTCCTCAGGTCAAGAACTTCGGGCGYTCAGGGCGGACTAAGTACACGCACTTGGTGGACCAGGACACTACTTCCTTTGACTCTGCCTGGGGCCAGGAGAGCGCACAGAACACCAAGTTCTTCAAGCAGAAGGCAGCGGGTGTGCGGGATGTCTTTGAGAGACCCTCAGCCAAGAAACGAAAAACGACCTAAGGACRGGGGCAGGAGGGTCTGGTGTGGCTGATGCTTGGAGGCCGCTGCCTTATCAGAGCCTGGGCAGGGACAGAAGGCACATGTTTCAGGACTCCTGTGGTGACAAGCCCTTCCCCTGCCTATCCGATTCCCTGTGCTGAGCAGACCCGATGGGCTCCCTGCCTGTGCACCACGGAGGATGATTGCCTGTGGTGCTGGCCAGGCTGGTGGCCACACTACATCCCAGCAATAGCCACTCTGGAGCCTTGGCAGTGCTCAGCACATTGCAGCAGCGCCCCTGGCTCCAGCGCATYTACTTCTGGAGGACTTACAGGACTTTTACATCCATCTGGTCTACAATATTCCTCCTTGTTGCTTGTACAGTCCCTAATGTCAGTCTGGGCCCCGTTTTGGGGTGGTCAGCAGTGACCCCATGTCACCTTGTTCTTGCAGAGTTTGGCTTTTCTACCTTTGTGGGGTGGGGGTTGATTAAATATTTGATTTTGTTACACATTCTGGCCCCATTCTTCTTACAGACACGTTCTGTGCCTTCATGTGAGCCAAGGTGGGCTGGGGCAGCACAAGAGGAACCAGACTGGGCAGGGCATGCATGAGCAGCTGTCAGCACATGTGCCTGGGCCTGTCCAGTCTGTGCTGCCCCGGGGGAAGAGATGAAAAGAGGGGAGAGCAGCAAGTCTCAGTTCTTGGGCAGGTCACTTTGTCCTGCTCCAGTCACAGGGGTGCCCAGGGGGCACTGTCAACACGATGATGCATGGCTGGGCCTCACTTGTGGGTACCATGCACCCAGAGGCAGGGACATGTGCTCAGCGCTGCGTAGACCACAGAGACAGCCCAGTCCCACCAGTGCCTTTATTGGTATGGCAAGAGCCCCATGCCTGGCCACCCGGCTCAGTTGGTGAGGGTGATGAGAGCCTCCACCACGTTGCCCATGTGCTCGCGCAGGCTGCGCTCTGCTGCGGCCCGTGATATTTCCATCTCCGTCATCTGCAGGAAAACAGCCACAGCCCCATACAGCAGCYGCAGGGCCCCACGGGCCAGGCGGGGGGCAGTGAGGGACACCCAGCCATGGRGACACCTGACGGGCCTCAGGGCAGGTCATGTATTGGCCTCCTCCATGGGTGCAGTCTCGCACCCGAGATTTGGGAGATGTCAAGGCCTGCCTGGGTCCCGCCCCTACTCACAATCAGCTCTAGGTCCTCCTTCTTGATGGTCACTTTGGCCAGTTCTTTCTCCCTACAAGAGAAGGACAAAGCTGTGGTGACCGGCAGCCCCCGCTGCCCCGGTGCTCCCTCGGCCGCAGGCGGGAAGGAGCGAACCCTCGCAGCAGTGCGGGATGTGTGCTGGAGGGCTCCGGGGCAAGCAGATGGCCGGGTCGTGTCGCGAGTGGTGAGAAGTTGCAAAACAGGCACTGCCCCGAAGCGAGTTACCTCTCCTGCTTCGCTTTCTGCTCCCGGGACCTCCGGTCTCCGATCACCGACATGGCCTGCCAGAACGAGCGCGGTCACCCCGCTGCGCGGCACCGGGCGGGTCAGCGCCACGCCGGTGGCACGGGCACCGGGACCGGCACCGGGAGGGACGTACAGRCGCGGCGGTCAGCGCCCGGCGGTCAGCGCCCGGCTCGGCCCCGCTGCAGGCAGCACCCAGCCTCCCACCCTGGCCCGGTCCCGTCCCGCCGCCGCACCGTCTCCAGGTTGGAGCTCTGGATCTCCTTCTCCTCCGCGTAGTCCGTGACGCGCTCCAGATCCGCCGCACCGCTATCGTGCTTCCGCGGCTTCTCGGCAGCGCGACCGCCCGCCCCATCGCTGCCGCCGCCGGAGCCATTGGGTTCYGTTTCCAGCTCCAGCTCCACATCGCCCTCGGCCGCCATCCCGCCGCGCCGGGCCCGCTTCCGGTCACGTGCGCCGCCGGCGGAACCAGCGGGGGCGCGCGCCGCCAGAACCGAGCGTGGGAGTGAGGGGGGGCCGGG